CCACATACAACAGAAGATGCTACTCGTCACAGACATCGCTCTGATAACACTGAAAAATAAAGACCATCTTCCAGGAGCAGCACAGGGCAGAACCTGGCACAGCTGATCATGAAACTCACACTCAGCCAGCAGCACAGGAGTGTTTGCTGCATTTGGACTAAGCTTGCTCATTGGCTCCCTCTGCTGAAGCACACTGAAATTAAATTTAATTAAAGAGGAAGATGGTGGAAGGACAATCAGTGCCTCCGTATTCCAACACCAGCCAGCATTAGCTATAGAAAGAACTACAGTCCCTGATCTATGAGAATCCAGAGCCAGGTACTGTCCACAAATCTGGACCCTGTTATTCCCCTCAATGCATGTATGTGACTCCTATGTGACATACTGCAGGCTCACACCTCAGTGAGGGCTGTCTCACTCCTATTTCTAGCCTCCTCATGAAGCTTGTATGAATTTGGTGAAATCTTGACTCCCTGTCAAGTTTGACCCCACTGGCTACTTTCCTCTAGGAATTAATGGGAAAACAGATGGTGCAGTTATATAAGCCTCATTTCCTGCAGAAGTCTGGCTAAGAAAGACCTCAAGCATGCCAGATTTGTTACAATGTACAGCCTCAGTTTTTGTAAGAAGGGATCTATTACTATCTAAGCATTTTCTTCCAGGCATATCTGATAACTGACCTCAACAGAGAAAGCAAGCAGACAGGATGAACTTTCTCTAGCTGCTTTCTGCCAGTTCCTAAGATTGGGAAATTTGCTGAAACTCCCAAAGTTTCCCAGCAGAGAAACACACTTGCCTTTCACTGAAGCTTTTAAACTCATTTCTGAGATAACAGAAGTAAGAAACATGCTTTTGCTCCCTGATCTAAGAAGGTACTGCAGTGGCAAGGATTCTTGCTTCTTAACTAAGGATGTTAGAGTCTACAAATAAAAATCAGGAAGTAAGCATAGGGTAATTAAACCCTACAAAACTCACTTCAGAATATTCCAGTGTTCCTACTTAAGAAAAGCAAGGCATAGCTCCAGAAAGGCCTCTAAGAAGTTGCTATATTTTCCAAAGCTTATGCAGTGATTGATGGATCAAAGCAGCTCATCAGAAATGCCATTTGAACAAAGCTGCATCCAAACTTTAAAATGCTAATGAACAACCTAGCAGTGGGGTGCTGCTACAACCTGGTTCTTCAGACTCAGAACATTTCAGCAATTAAGATACAGAGAACTACAGCAGAGGCCTTGAGCTGGATGTTTATTCTCAAATGTGTAAGTAAATCCAGCATTTATATTCTCTTCCCCAAAACTTTTTTCCCCCCTGCAACTCATTTATGGTTAAAACTATTTGAAATTCAAATGCTTGTTCCCTTCTGTTAATAGCAACAGTTTATTTAAAAGCCTTCATCCCAAAAAACCCCTTCCCAAAAGAAACCCCACAAAATAAAGCACCACAAAGCCTCAGATACGTATGCACTCGCTCAATTCTACACATCTGCATGTAGTCTCTCCATTTCCTACAAGCAGTACTCCAGTCCTTTAAATAATTTGCACTGCAAGATTAACGCAACACATTCAATTACGGAATGCAATGAAGACACCAGAAATCCTTGCTTTTTTCCCCTCAAATTTAATGTGGTGCTTTCAGAACACTTAGAACACCAATTTGTGAGGATAGACTCCATTTGAGAGAGAGAATGTGGAGCGCAGGTACCCACGGAGCTGAGGCACCTTCTTGATTCGTGCAAGGACCTGGGAATCCACTGCCTTCTGGTCTGTCTTACGTTGCTCCGTTATCTCATATTTCTAGAAAGTACAAAGAATAATGTTAAAATCCTACAGAACAACTTCAGACTCTTCTAGAGAAGATTCAGGGCAAACCCTGAGTTCTGGCATTTTCAGGAAATCTTTTCTCAGCTTATTTTAAATATGTGATAGGAAGCAGCAGACCGGAGGTGGCAGAGAGAACTGAAACCACAGTTTGGCTTATGTTGCAGATAGCTGGAGCCAGCAGCATGCTGTTGGCAGTATCAAAACAGTAAAGGTGTTTCTTGGTCAAGAAAGGCATTCAACTAGAACAATCATTACTGTTGTCCAGCTAAGGGAGAAGTAGAAAACAATCCCCAAGTTTAAAAGGAGCTTATCTCAATGCTACTGCATGTGTTCATTTTAATTGCAATAGCTTTCTCTACTATGGACCGTTGTCAACTTGTTTCATGGGATTTCCCCTTTCCAGCCTGGCTTTAAGCAATAAGGATGTTCACAAAGAATAAGCACTCATGTTCCTTACTTCTTTTTCAGTATCAAAGATCTCGCCCTCCTGGTGCTTGGGCTTACGCAGCTTCTTCTTCTTAAAGTAGGCATCAGTGAGATGCTTGGGAATTTTCACTCCAGAGATATCAACCTTTGTAGATGTAGCAATAACAAATTTCTGGTGGGCCCTACGCAGAGGAACACGGTTGACAACCAGAGGTCCTAAAGGCAGAGGAAAGACAGGCAACAGTTGCCACTTTTAACTGGCATTTTTGATACAGCTGAAAATCAGAACCACCAACAAAACCTTTCCCCACTGCCTCTTCATAAATAAAAAATACTTCCTGATCTCTTCCAGGTGTGCAGATACTGAAGCTTAATTAACTCCCACTCACCTCCCTGAAAAATCTCAAAACATAATTCCTCATAGTTACACAAACACATAGCATGCTAAATCATCTTAATCCAGGTCAGTACCACTAATTCCAGAGACAAATTCAGACTAGAAAGTAAATATTTTTGTTTCTTACCTGTAACAAGCAACAGGCCAGTACCAAGCTGCTTCAGAAAGACAACACGCTGAAAAGAGATGAGATGTGACATCAGTCCTCAGGTTTCAGCATTACACCTCCTGTGACATTTGAGAAACACTGCAGCCAAACTGTGACCATGTCTACATTCAGCCTGTGCTGTTGGTACATACATAAAGAAGCAGCCAACGTGGATGCAGCTGTCCTATATAAGAAGCAACCACCACAGGAACAGAGCTACCAACACCTGCCAGAATATAGCTTTGACAAAGCTACCACAGAATGAAACTGAGGAATTCAAGAAAATGCATAATTCTTTTTATGTAACAGCAAGCCAAAGTTCTGGCCTTGCTGCAAGAGTAATACAGGCACCAGCCCTGCTATTCTGCAGTGCAAAATTAACATGACAAGCACCTGTAGTTTTCTGAGTTGCAGCAAGTCTCCTTTATCACTGTATAATCAACTGGATTAGCCTGTTTTAACTTCCAGCCCTGTACAGAAGACTTTCCCTTAAAAACAGGATGAAAAAACCACCCAGACAGAATGCAACTGCACTTGCAGATCTGCAAGAGCACCAGAAGTTCCCAGTTACCTTGCCTCTGTGACGACCAGTCAGGAGGATCAGAACAGTTCCTGGCGTAATAGAAGCCCGCAACCTCCTCTTGTGTTGAGAAAATGGCTTTTTGCCATGACTCAAAAGCTTGCGAGGAACATCCTCAGTTGGATAATAGCGAGGCTAGAAAGAAAAGGAACAAAGTGTACCACCCTGTAATCCATGAGATAAGATGTTTTCACTACAGGTTCCTCCTTTCCTAAGAGATAATTTGCTCTTTAAAGATGATCTCTCTAGAAAGAAACTTTGGCAGCAACCAGTACTTCAGGAAAACACTGAAACACTGTTTTCTAAACTCATTGCCCTGCTAAAAGACTCAGCACCTACTAACAAATTACATGCTACAGCCTTACACCGTGAGCATTTCAACTCCTTTTCTTACCATTTTGCGGACTTTAACCACACGGCTGCCTCCATTCTTGTCTCCACCAACTGGTTTGATGACAGTTGCGCGTGGCTTCTCTTTCTTTTTCTTTTCTATCTGTTAGCAAAGGAAAGGAAAAATAAGTGAAACTTCAAACCAGTCTCCACAAGAAGTGGTCAAACAGCACAATTACGTAAACTTGGTATTTATCATCCATACCTTTGTTTCTGGAGCAGTGTATTTGCGTTTGTACAGTGCTTTTCTGGCATACATGGCTGACCGGGAATATTTCCCAATGCCCCGCGCCAGGACCGGGTTGCGGCTGGCATGGTACTTTTTAGGCTTCTTTATCTTCTCACGTGCCTTCTTCTGGCTTGCCTTCTTCTCAATTGGCTTTTTGTCAGCTGGTTTCTTCTCTACTACCTTCTTCTGGGCCGGCTTCTTCTCGCCTGCCTTCTTTTCGCCTGCCTTCTTCTCACCTGCCTTCTTCTCACCTGCCTTCTTCTCACCCGCCATCTGCAGACATAAACAGACCAGAAACTATGCAGAAAAATGATTACAAAGCATGCAGAAGAGCACCTATATCAAACAGAAAAGCATAAGATTATCCTTTATACCATTCTGAGAGCTCTTAGCACCTTTTGTAGTTATTGGAAAGAGACAGCACAGAGCTAAAAGCCACGCAGAGCACTGCAGTGTGAAAATCACTAACGTTTTAGTTGCCCTCTAATGCTGTTATTAAACTCAACGACTGCACTCAACCCCCTAGCAAGCAGCCTAAGGTACAAATATACAGGAAGGCTGCAGTCACCCTCCTATCCCTGAGAGCCACGCTATACTCAGCTCCCTCAGCGCCACCCCAGCTACAGCTCCACGCAAGGCCCCGGCTGCGGCCCAGCCCAGCCCAGACTCAGTGCTCTGCCACGGCTCAGCAGGAGGCACCCAACCCTCCCCCAACAGCCCCCCTGCCCGCCCTACAGGCACCAGGCCGAGACCGTGAATCCAACGCAGCTCCCCAGGAGCGGATGGAGGCAGATAGCGCCCACTCGAGCCACAGCCCTGCGTTCCGTGGCTCCGCCATTCTTACCTTCCGGGGAGGAAAAGAGCTACATCCGGGCACCCGCGGCCTAAAGAGAGCTGGCGCCTGACGTCATCGCGCCAATCGCGGGGCATGCTGGGAATTAAAGTCCGGGTGGGCCAGGATCCCTTCCTATAAGGCGGAGTGGCGCGCGGTGATGACGTAAGTGGTGACGCAAGGCGGGCCGCGCCGCGCTCCGTGCGCTCCGGGGCTCTGAGGCCGTAGTTGTTCGCGCTCCTCTCGGGGCGCCCGTAGGCCGCGAGCACCGTGCTGCGCTGAGGGGGGCTGAGAGCCACATGTGAACCGGCGGCCGGCTGCGGGGCGGTGGGGGGTGCCGCGACCCGCTGGGCAAAATGACATCGCGGAGGTGAGGCGGCTGCGAGCCCGGCTTTGGGGTTCGTGGGGGGGGGGGGGGGGGGGGGGGGGGGAAGAGGGCGCTGTGTGGGACCGAAGGGCTTTTTTTCATGCTGCTCTCTGTATGCGGTGTTTGCCTGCTTTCTGCTGTTCTCTGTGGGTTAAGGTAAACGTGGCTCTCAAAGAGAATTGGTGTAGTAATGTGGATGTTGTGTTCCTTTTTATTGTTTAACCTGCCTGCTCATAAAATTGATGCCTCTCTTTGATAGAGGAACTGTAGTGGAGCGAGGCTGCTGTGAGCTTGTAAGGCCGCACCAGAAGTGCTGTGTCCAGACCTGGGGCCCCCAGCATAGCAGTGATGTGGAGCTGTTGGAGTGAGTCCAGAGGAGAGCTGTGAGGTGCTCGGCAGGCTGGAGCACATCACCTGCGAAGGAAGGCTGAGGGCTGCTCAGTCTAGAGAAGATGCTAGGGAGATCTCATTGTGGCCTTCTAGTGCTTGAGGGGTGTTATAAGTAGGAGGAGTGGGTTTTTACCCTGTGTAATAGTGATAGGGCAAAAGGGAATGAGTTTAAGCTGAACGATTTAGGAATAAATTCTCTATAGGGTGGTGAGGCTGTGGCAGTGCTGCCCAGAGCTGTGGGTGCCCCATTCCTGAATGTGCCTGAGGCCATGGATGGGCCCTGGGTAGCCTGAACTGGGGGGCACCCAGCCCATGGCAGCTGCAGCTTGATGGGTTTTAAGGTTCCCTCTAGCCTAAGCCATTCTCTAATTCCATGAAGTTTTTCAACACCAGATTATCCTCTCTCTTGTTCTGCTTACCTTGGTGCAGTGAGGTTGGTTGATTCTCAGTTGGGCTGTAGCTGAGCCCAGCTTTTAGATCTCAGGTATGTGTGGGATCTGCAGAGCGTGTTGGGTTTTGTGCCTACTCCCACCTACACGCTGGGACGGGTGTGCAGTGCCTTTCAGAAACACTTGTGGGCCTTCCTGCTGTCAGGGAAGTTTGTATTTTAATTTGAGACTGAAAAATATAAGCTGGGGCCTAAAAATAGGAATAACTAAGCTCCCAGTCACCACCTCCACAGATGCTGAGACCCAAAGCTGATTTTTATCTCTCCTGCACTTGAAAAGACGATTGGAAAAGCTCAGTCACTGCATGGAAAAATGTATTGATTTTTTCTTTCCTCTGTCTCTTCAATTTGATAAAAGTCTGCTGGCAGTGTTGGACTTGTGAAGCACAGATTCTGCTGACTTTTTCTTCACTGTGCAAAATGCAACTGTATGCTTATTTAAAAAGTAATGATAAAATAGCAGTGCTGTGTTTTCTGCCATGTCACAGTTTTCAGCAAAAGGTTTCTTGCTTAGCTAACATCCCTCGCTTTTGTAAATGAGACTCCAACTGTTCTACTGCATTTCTGCTGATGTTTTTACCTTTCTGTAAGCTAACAAGTGACTTGGATCTGCTGCTGAACCCCCAAAGTGGAATTGCTGTATGGAGTGTTCTGTGCATAGTGGCACAGTTGGTTTAATTAGAGTGTGGGTTTACACGTATGTGTGTTGGTTTTCTTAGTTGTGCTTCTTGGCTGTGATGTCCTTCACTTGGGATAGCCTCTGCACCTGCTCATAATAGAGATTGGAAAAGGAAAGAAGAAAATAAGTCTAAAATGCATTCCATCCCTATAAAAGGAAGCATAGGAGAAAGTCCTCCATAGGGGTTATGTTACTGATAGCTGTGCCTGCAGCCCCCTTTGCTCTCTCCCCCCGTTTTAGAAGGGATGCAGCCACAAGGTTCAAAAGCACACATGTGATGGCAGCACTTCAAATGAAGAGATCTCAATCACCAGTCCGGAACCGTTTAAACGAGATCACTAACACCCCCATTTTTCTATTTGGGGTGGCTGACAAATGCATCTTCCTACACAAAGCCAAAAATACAAGGATGAGAGAGCAGGAGAACGAGTTACCGCTAGAACAAAAGTTACATAAAGTGCAATAAAGCCCTCAGTCTCCCAGATGTAGCTTTTCTTTTGCTATACTTTGTAACTTTTTGCCATCTTGAGTAGGAGTGTACCTATGCGTATTTCATGTTTTGAACAGCTCGTATGCTGTTACTTCCAGGTGCACTGAGATTTAGGGTGAGATACAGAAGGTATTGAATTAATTAAACTTCATGGAATGACAAAGTATAATAAATCTGTAGGATTGGCCCAATAATTTCTCCTTTTTTATGTTCATAGGCATAAATTTAGAGACAAGCAAAGGTATCTTTTGAATCCCACGTGTATTGAAATTGCTTATTAGCTGTTCACAATGTTGCTATGCTATTGCTGTTGCTTTCCCCCTAATGGAAGTAATAATGTTGAGGGTTGGAAGTGTGGTAAATATATTGCCATCTCCCTTAGTTGTTATTTAGTGATCAATTAATCCCAGGTACTGATGCTTGTGCAACATTTCTTCTGATAACCGCACTGAAAGAGAACTGTTCTTGACCTTCAGTTGGCTATTAGATAAGTGCAGGATTTATTGATTCTTATCCATTTGCTGTAAAAGCTTTTAATGTGTCTTTTCAAGCCCCATGGTGCACAGGTTTGATTTTCTTTATCTCCACTTAGAGATACAGCAGTGTTCACCAGGTTTTCTTGTTGCAAGCAGGATATTCTTAATTAGTTAAAAAGCAAGATTAACAAGAGGAATCATTTACTTCTGAAATGGAGTTGAGCATAGGTAGTCCTGATTCCCATTTGGATATTCTGGAATCTCTAAAACTCCCAGAATGTTTGCATGAGATGCTGTGTCTGAATGGAACAGGCTGGGTAAGGGCTTGGTAGGAATGTTGTCTGCTTGTCATGATTGAAGGAATTGCTGAACCAATCAAAGCAATGAAGTCGTAACCCTAAAATTAGGTAAATGCTCTATTTGCTGTTAGAGCAATTTACTGTCAAACGTTGAATATCAGAAGTGCTGCATAATTTTTTTAGACATGGCATTTTTACAGCTGCAGTGAGATTGGTTGCAGGCTGCTTGCCCTAATGCTTTGCTTTGGAGCAGCTGAGAACCCTCTGCACAGAGGAGCCGCCCGTGTTCTTTGTGCAGATGTGGATGTGCCTTTTTGCTGTGCCCTGCCTAGTGCCTGATTCACAGCAGAGCTGCAGAGTGAAGGAGATCATTGAATCACCAAAGAAAAGTCCAGCCAAAGCCCTGAAGCAGTTCTGAGTTGCTGTGTTTGCATCTCTGGCCCATGTGGTGATTTTTCAAGTTATTTTTATTTTGCAGTTTGTTGCCTGAAATCGCGCCTTGCTCCGCAACCGTTCCATGGCAGGGGGTTGGAAGTAGATGATCTTTAAAGTTTCCTCCAACCTAAGCCACTCTATCATCCTCATTAAGAAGTCCTCTCACCTACAACAGAGGTGCAGCTTACAGTTTGTTGAGCTCTTACAGTTGTGTAGGAGAGCAATAAAATCCCTCAACTACAGATAAGAGGAATCGCAGCTGCGTTAACTGAACGGCTAAGAATAAGCCAATGCCATAGGTGGGGACACCGAGCTTCTGAGATGTAGACCATATACAGCTCTCCTTTGGCAGGGCACTATATTAGTCACTCATTAGGCCACTCGTGGGTGGTGAATATCAATATGGGGTTCCTTGATGCTTGTATTTAAGCGTGGTACGTTTGGGTGAGAAATTGCCGATGGTATTCAGAAGGCAGAGTGGCAAACTGGTGTCTGGCAGCAGTCAGCACCCTGTGCCCTTGGGGGTGGAAGGAGCCCGGGTAGCTGAGCAGGTCGTCCTCAAGTGGAGACCCTTCTTGGCTGGTGGTCATCCTGTGTGCTCAAGGATGAGGTTCAGTTGAAATTTCAACCTTTAAAATGTTGTCTGATGTCGCTTTGGATGGTTTAAGTATTTTCCCTGCTTGTCTTTCAGTGTCTTTGTCTTGTCTTCCAGTGTATGAAAAAACACACTATTCCATCTGTGTTTCTGTTGTGTACCTTCCTTTGATAGCACTGCAGTCTGGATGTGTATAGTATAACTCTTTGACTTGCAAGGAATCTCTTACCAATATAGAAAAAAGCAATGCAATATAAAAAGTGCAATTTATACATTTTAAGTAGAAATTCTTACTGAATTTTGAGCAAAATTCAGCCCTGGCTTTGCAGCAGCTGTGTAGTTCTGCTTAGTTCTGTCGCATAGATTAACTTTGAAAATGAGACTCTTCTATTTACTTGTTCTCTTTATTTTTAACCTCATGTAGATGGTTTCATCCAAATATTACTGGAGTGGAGGCAGAAAATCTACTGTTAACAAGAGGAGTTGATGGCAGCTTCCTGGCACGGCCCAGCAAGAGTAACCCCGGAGACTTCACACTCTCTGTTAGGTATGTTTAAATGTTCTGTCTTTCTTCCCAAGGTGTTCATTGCGTGCTGTTCTTTGGAGAAAGAGTTGTAAATTAACTATTTGCAAGAGATGAAATAATGCACGGATCTCTGCCCTTCTCTCTGTTTCCCCTGAAGAAGTTCTCAAGTATCTTTACCCAACTTGGGGAATCTGCAGTTTGGGGATATTGTAGAGATAGAGAAGTTATGGGGAAGCAGAAGTAAATTTATAATTGTATTACTGTATGCCCTTTAAAAATCTATTTCATAACCATTTGAAAGTAGCAGAGGTTATCTGAATTGCTGATCAAACGCCTGCAAGGAAATGCTACCCTGACTTTTTTCTTATAGGAAAAAATCAGCAAGTCTTTAAGGTCAGCTGTGCTGCTGTTCCAAACCAGACCTTTTGTAACACTTATCCCACTGTCAGTGCGTATGTAGTGGTAGGGACAAGGAAAAGAGAGCAAGAGGAAGTAGATAAAGGAAAAAGGAAAAGTGGGTTTGGTGATAAGAGTGGTACTACTGGGATACCTTTGTGATAATGGGCCCTGTTGAACAGACGGGGCCTCTTTCAGGGAGCTGTGCTTTGTTAATGCAAGAAACTCCAGGACTAAATGGTTTACATTTTATTAAAAGAGAGATTCTAGAAATTAGTGTGAAAGTCCAGCAAAAGCAGCAAACAAGCTCTGATGGGTGTCCTGCAAAAGCTGAGTTCTTTCCTCACCCTTCCACCCCTTGTGCTTGTGAGTGCAATTCTGGGGGATCCAGAGAATTTCTGTTGCAGACTGCAGGACCCTGGAGCTTACTCTGGCTTAGGGAATTCCTTTGCCACAGAATTATTGTTATTTTTTTTTCTTATTATTAACAGTTACAAACTGTTGGGCAGCCCCTCCCCCTTCTTGCAAGCCACCAAGATGTGGCTGAAATATATTGCAGAAATATGCACTAGATCAACTGTTCTGCCATATTTCATTTGGAAAGTGATGCAGAAGTCTGGATTTCTCCAACTGTGAAAACAGAACTTAGTATAAGAGTGGTTTATTGGAAATCAGCTGACTTACATGGTTTCTTCCTTTGTTTCAAACATTAGGCGAACTGGAGCTGTCACCCACATCAAGATCCAGAACACAGGAGACTATTATGACCTCTATGGAGGAGAGAAGTTTGCTACATTGGCTGAGTTAGTCCAGTATTACATGGAGCATCATGGGCAGCTCAAAGAAAAGAATGGAGATGTGATAGAGTTGAAATATCCACTGAACTGTGCTGATCCTACTTCGGAAAGGTCAGAAATGGTGGTGAAAACCTCACTATCCATGTGCTTCTTAATAAGTGCATGCCATCCCCATAGGATCTGCTTCTGTTTGGTGGGAGGGTAGTCACTATCATACTAAAGTTAATCCCCCCTGAATTCAGTGAGATTACTTGCGAAGTTGACTCAATGAATGTGGTTAGAGGTAAAATAATTTGTGCTGAACAAAATAGATCTTGAAGCTTTCTTCCTGGCATGATAGAATACTGGAAAAGAGGGCAGAGTTCCCTTGATTTTTAGTGGGAGAATGATTTATAGAATTTCTCTTAGTGATCTCTGAATCTGTAGTGCCTTGGAATTCCTTGCAGTAATATTTGTGTGTAATTTTATACTTTTTTTCCCCACAAATGTATATATATTTAATATATATATTTAATATACATATATTTAAGAAAGTAAATGCTTAAACTGCTCAAACTGATGGTTTTATGAGCATGGCTAATGAGGAGCATCTGAAACTTCTGCCATGCTGAGGATGTCTGTGCATGACAGAAACATCTCTGGCCAGTAGATGTCAGTTTATCCTCAGAATATGGAAGAAAGGAGGGAAAAAAAAGGGAAGATAAGAAACAAGCTCCCTCACGCCTCAGTGTGGCTTGTATTTAATGGCTGTGGGGAGAATTCTTGCATTTATGTGATTTATCCTGCTCAGTTCCTAATGTGATGGAAGAGTAGGGTCTTAAAGGTACTGAGTTCCCAGAGCATTATTGGGAAACCCTCACGAAGCTAACAGACCAAGAGTAAATGCCTGTGCTGAGGAGAAAGTTGCTGTATGAACTTGTATTTATTGGACTTCAGGGGATTCATTTGTACTGCTGTACAGGATCCAAATGAAAGCTTTGTTTGAAACTTGCATAAAATGCAAATTTCAGGGCTTGTGGAAGTGCCTGCTTTGAAGTGTTCCTGCAGTTGCTCGTGTTTATGTACACGTACGCTTCCAACAGTTTATTATAAGCTATGAACCTTTCTGTAGTCTGGGACTCATTCAGTGTCCATTTTAGTGTTTCCCTTTGTAATAACTTTTTATACCAAGCGGATTCAACCATGGCTGGAATGACTATTAGAGTGCTGTTTTCATTTAAAGGTGGTTTCATGGGCATCTCTCTGGAAGAGAAGCTGAAAAACTGTTAACAGAAAAAGGAAAACATGGAAGCTTTCTTGTGCGTGAGAGTCAGAGCCACCCTGGGGACTTTGTTCTTTCTGTCCGGACGGGAGATGATAAAGGAGAGAGTAATGATGGGAAATCTAAAGTGACACATGTCATGATTCACTGCCAGGTATGATGAAGCAGGAGCTTCTTTAACAGTACTGCTTCTGTGGGCAGAGGGCTTATTCTAACAAGAGGGCCTTTCTGCACTTTGCTAAAGACATGAATGTATTTCCACTTTTTCCTGTGGTAATGTGTGTGTGATATACATCATCTGGTTCATCAAATGGAATAGATTTGCTTCTGATTGCATCAGAAGTCTGTCTTAAAGCCTTTTGCTGATGGAGCTTTTAATGTTTGTGAACCTTAAGCGAGATGCTATCTGCTGTATGGATGATATCAGGACAAGAGTAATTGGACAAATAGAGACCTGTCCATGTATGTTTGTTGCTCCTGTTATTTCATAAAGTCTCACCTGAGAGTGATCAACAGAGCGTAAACAAGCCTGAGTATTTAATCTAAAGAACACTTTAAAATATTAATATAGAGTGGTCCATCATTTCAATATTTATGTACTTAAGTTATGGTCTTTAAATATTTTTGTGCATAACAGTGGCTTGCTCAATACTTAAATCTGTGACTTTTGTTTTAGTTATGTAAAATTGTAATTGCCACAGCTATATAAAAACTAAAATGTAGTAGGAGGAAACAGTTTAGAGATAGAGAAGAGGATGTTGTCCTCCATAATGTGTGTTTCTTGTTGTCTACCATCTACTAGCAGAAGAGTTCTACTGGATTTTTCTATGTGTAGTTTGAAAGAATTTCTCTTATGTTGTGTAGTCTAAATGTTATATCAGTGCAGACTTGATGAAGTTATTTTGTTTTGATGACTGACAATCTGTTTTTAAGGACCTAAAATATGATGTTGGTGGAGGGGAGAAGTTTGACTCTCTAACAGATCTAGTAGAGCATTATAAGAAGAACCCTATGGTAGAAACTTTGGGCACAGTATTGCAACTCAAGCAGGTGAGTGAATGGAGAAAACACCACTAACTTTATTAATTTCAATGTATATTGTTGGGGAAGAGTGGGCTTTTCTGTGTGTTCTGTGTGACATCATAACTTTTGAAATGTGAAAATGAAGGAGACTTCATGAAACTGGTTGATAAAATCATGTAAGTCTAAACTGGGATAATTTTGTGCTGCTGGTAAAGAATAGACTTTGTAATGCATGTAGAATTTCTTGTAACTTCATTATGATCCATAGGGATTGCAAGGCTAGTTCACAGATGAAACAAGTTATTAAGAACAACTGTGAAACCAAAAGCATTTGTTCCTTACTCCCTTCCTTTCTTCCCTCACTGCCCCTAGAATGTGTAAATGGTGAAGTCCTGGATCTTAGAATTGCCTGTGTAATGTAAACTTAGTGTAGGGAATTTGTGTTTTTAACTGTCTTTTTAGTTGTCACCTTTATTTTGTTTTTCCTAGCCTCTGAATACCACCCGTATTAATGCTGCAGAGATTGAAAGCAGAGTGCGAGAGCTAAGCAAGCTAGCAGAGACTACAGATAAAGTCAAGCAGGGCTTCTGGGAAGAATTTGAGGTACCTCATTGTATTTCCAATGTTATGTTATGGTATTGAATCTCTGTAGTACTTCTAAGAGGTTTGTTACTGCCTTCCTGAGAATAGCTTGGCTCTACTTCCATCACTTCAGATCCCAGCTTTTGCTCCTTTCTCCTGTGTCAGGTAATAATGTGTTAAAACAGTTCCATTCCTGTGTCTGTTAATAAAATGATTCAGATATTTTCCCTTTTTCCTAACTGAGAGGTAATTACATTCTGTTGTTCATTCTGACCTAATTGCATTTCCTCCTGTTATCCTTCCCATCATGAGGGAGCCTTCCTACAACTGGCACCACCAGGACAATCAGTTGGACTCAGTCCTGGGTCCCTTTTCTCCATGAGTGCAGGGGGAGGTCTGTAGGCTGGATTTTTATTTCTGGAGGCAAAGGCCTGATTCCTAGCCTCTGTTGACTATGTTGACTATTTGTAACCTGTTGTGACTGGGAAGCAGTACAATAGCAGTATCTGATGCAGTTGGAACACATAAGTGTGCTTTGCATATGCAGGGAATTAAGCGATGCTTTCTGTTGCTTCACCCAGTGGGGTGTTCTGAGTTGTACTCTGTTGTGATTAAGAGGCAGTGGGATTTCTCAGTCCATATGTGCTATTGCACTTGAGTTTGTGGCTCCTTTGGTAGCCACTTTTGAGAGATCTTAAAACTATTGTGAAGAGGCAGGCCTCAGATTAGTTGAGTCTGGTGTAGTAGAAATGCAAGTCATGGCTTGAACCAGTGATTGAGCACCTGGTGGGAAGGCAGGGCCAACCCAGGGGAGCTCAGGTGTATGCAGAGCACCTGAGTGACTTGAAAGGGTGAAGCCAGGATCCACTCCTGCCCAGATAGGGTTGGCAGTGGAGGCAAGAGGATCTTGCTGGATATGACTGCATATTTGTGGCCTTCCAAGGGTAAGCAGATTCTTTTCTTTGTTTCCATCTCTGACTGCTGCATCCTAACATTTTTCTGACAACTGGATTGACTTAAAAACTGTGTGTGCGTGTGATGATCACAGCCAAAAGTTTTGGTCATTACTTTATTATAATGAAGAGACTTGTATCACTCACTTCAGAGTGAATTGTAGGACTGTACCAGCAGATGGCAACAGGAAACTGGAAAGTCTTGTGATCCCAGATCTTTGACAAAGAAGCTGATTTTGGCTGTGTGATGCTATTTTGAGGAACTTCTTGAAAATTGATGGATTTGCAGAGCACCATTCTTGAAGAAACTCATTTATGGTCAGACACGCTTATTAGCTCTGCAGTCTGCTCTGAGACTTTTAGTGGGAGTTGAAAAATAAAACCATGAAGAATCATTGAGTTTTACAAAGATATAACAAATTTCTGTAGGAATTTGGTGGAATGTAGGATAGTGAGATCACAGCTGGTAGGGGTGGTAATCGTAAACAGAGTATTAAACTTCCTCTTCTTTCTCACCTTAATATCTGGCCTTGACCAAGGACTGCAGAGTTGTTCTTAGCCTGAACACTGCAGTTTTAATGCCATGTTTTCTCATTCGTCTCAGGTAAGCTGCGGCTGCCAGTCCTGGTGGGAGGAGGCAGGGGGCAATCTCCAGTCTGTCTGTGGAGCTCTTCATGCCCTGTTGTGCTTTGGCAGTCCAGATGGTAGCTGTAAATTACTTGTCTTTAGGCATATTGAAGAATGCCTCTTGTCCTGTTAAGCGTCAGACAGAAATGTTGACAGTCTTTGTAACACTTATGCTTCTGGAAAGTGACTGAGGAGCTTTGTGCTTGAATGGTACAGAGGAATTGAGGACTCTGTACCTAATTTATTGTTGCATTGTGTACCTCTTGTAATGAGCTTGTTAGAAGTCTTTGTACTTGTGGATCTTTCCTTAGGGGTGCTCAAAGCAGTAACCATTAACTGTGTGAAATAAAGATGTTTGAAGTTAGTTTCAACACAATTACTTCCATTTTTTTTTAACCTGCTAGCAAAGTTTAGCTTTTGGCTCTTTGCTTGGCTTTTCGTTTTGCAGAGACTCAGAAGTGTTAATATTATACAGAGGTGCTCTGTGATAATGGCAGTCAAAAGACTTCTGCATTATGACATGAGTTGAGCTTACTGCAAACAAATGCTTTATGGGTGCATACTTGCTGTGCATTACGTACATGAAACCTCACAGTTCTGTGCTGCTTTTGTTCTTTGGATTCCATGTCTTTAGGATGAGCTTAACTGTCCAAGGTCACTAAGTGGAGGTGGTAATGATAACACAGACTGAAATAGAAGTGAGCAAATGTGTCTGACATGCCTGAGCTTTAAAGTAAAAGTAGTCTGTGAAGGAATATTAAGGTGGTGTTAGAGAAGAGAGCAGCTTCCAAAGCCAGAGTGTTTCTTTTAGGCAGATTGATACTGCTTTTGAGATTAAAACTTGGAGCAAAACCATTGAGATTCTGCTCCCTTTGGCTTCATTGCAAGTACGTGGATTTGCTACTAAGCACTACTGCTATGAGGTATGGAATTACTGTTGTTCCTGTCGTTATTAATTGGGAACCACTGAGAAATTAGGGCCTTGCCAACGAGAGAAATCCCCATGCAGATTTACTGCTTCTGCACTAGGATGATTTATGGAGAACTATGTAGGTAGTTACCTAACACCTGCCCGAACCACCAGCATGGTAATGTGAGAAATCTGAGCAAAATATGTTTGGATGTGAATTAGTGAAATGGCCTTGTTTCAATAGGAGAAAGGGAGTCACGTTTTGCTCCCAGGTGTATTGGCCTATCTTTATTTGTCAGCCAGCTTCGTAGCACCTGTGTCTGTGAAAAGGATTCACTTAGAGGGTTAGCTACTTTTCTATGAAGAATAAAGCACAAATTGCAAAGTACTGTTGTTGCACTCAGTGCTAATTGGCTTTCTAGCTTTCTAATGCCATCTGTGTGTTTTGAATATTCTCATCCTATTGTGGTTTTAAGGGAATAGAAAAGAATATCTTAATATTCTGCTTCTAACAGCTGAAGGACTTTTCACTTTCCTTGAAACTGAGACAGCTGCTTGTGTTGGTGTGCTTTGGTGGGCTTTCTGTAAGCTCCTTCCTTCCCTTTGGCTGCCTAGAGATGATCTGGCTGCAGCCTGCAGGATTTCAGGGATGTGTTTTTGGGACTTTCCAGCAGCACTGCTATGGATTGGTAATAGCTGAAGGAAGGGAATAAAGCTAGTAAGACCTAGAGGAATCCAGTACAGCTCAGTAGAGAATCCTGTCACTGGTGTTCCTGTGTTTGTGTCAGTGACTTTTCATACCTTGAAAGCAATGCTGTATTGTAGTTTGAGTGGAGAAACCTAGGAACTCTCTGTGACTGCTGATTGGTATTATAATCAAGTGTCACTATTTTAATGAGGGAAGGATCACGATAATAATGACAGTCTTTGTCTTTTTTGTGCTCTTACTGACTCCAGTTATTTGTGCTGTTTTTCTGCAGACTTTACAGCAGCAAGAATGCAAACTTCTCTATAGCCGTAAAGAAGGTCAGCGTCAAGAGAACAAAAACAAAAATAGATACAAAAACATTTTACCCTGTAAGTACTGATTTCTTATGTAAGCCCATTACTTTTCTGTGCTTTGTTATTTTAGGTGGTAAAGGCAGGGTTAATTAAACAACAGTATGCTTTTTCTTCTCTTTAGTGCTAAGCCCTTCCTTTATGTTGTCAATATTAGTTCCATACAGCTTCCAGTCTGTTCAAACATTTATCCATTATAGATGCAGATATTTTGATTCTGAAATATTTATCTTCAGCTTTCACTAAACAGTTTAGGGATATGATGCTTTTATTTGGCAAACTGGAATGCTTACACTTAAGAGGATTAATCTGTGGTACAAAACTGCATAGTGCAAACCCAGCAGAGTTTGAGACCATTTGTGTTGATTTAGATAAACACTTGCTTTGTGATCTTTGTTGTGAACTGGAAACTTGTTTTAACAGAAACAGGAAAAGGGTTGGGTGTTCTAGCAGTGATTTGCAGAGTTTCACGATGTAGCAGTTTCTAGTAGCAGTAAGAAAGTACCTGTTGGTTGAATATTGAAAAATAGCTGTATGCTTACAATTGTACCATGCAGCTGCTTGACATATAAATATATTCTTCCAGTTGATCATACCAGAGTTGTTCTGCATGATGGTGATCCAAATGAGCCTGTTTCAGACTATATCAATGCTAATATTATTATGGTAAGTATGCCCCACCTAAATGAGTCTTGTAGGCACAACCTTTGCTTACTTTTTAACTTACTCTTTTAAATCTAAGTTAGTCTTCTAAAAATGAGCGTTTGTCACCATTTCTTAAATTGTTTTTGTCTCTAGCCTGAGTTTGAAACAAAGTGCAACAACTCAAAGCCCAAAAAAAGCTACATTGCTACTCAAGGTTGCCTGCAGAATACAGTGAATGATTTTTGGAGGATGGTGTTCCAGGAGAATTCTCGAGTTATTGTTATGACAACAAAAGAAGTTGAAAGAGGAAAGGTAAAAATAAACTTAAGCTGGTCTCTGGAGAAGTCATGACATCTGTGTGCGTGCATGGTCTGACTTGGTTGTATTGACTGCCATGCTGAAATGCATTGTGCCATCGTGGTCTTAGGAAACTCGCTGCTTAATTCTGTAAGGTGCTTGAATGTTCTTTCTTAATTGATGCCTGTGGGAATTGAGGACGCGCTCCTATTGTATCACAAGGCCTCCCTTTTGTAAGGATTGTCTAATTCTAGCTACTGAATGTGAATCATTGCATTATGAGAATACCCAGAGAATGAGACAGTGGAAAGCTAGGTGCTGCAGACAAACGTTCTGCCTACTTGAAGGGGTAAATTCCCTGTTCATGAAGCAACAGTATAGCCATTTTATTTTATTTTACCGAGTTTGTGTGGACTTCATAAAAGAAACAAATTATGGGATGTTATTAGAATGAGAATGAATTCAGAGGATATTGCTTCCTAAGTAAAAACTGCAAGTCTACATGAATATGTCCACATGGAAATCACTTTTCCAGTGACCTTTCTCTTACATCTTTTTTTTTCTTGGAAGAGAGAAATTATAGAGTTGCTTTGGAAGAGTTGAATACTTTTTTTGGTGTGTGCTCTGGCTATGTAGAATGCTTTTATATCTGATAACTTAATCATGACAGGGAAAGAAGGGCGAAAGTAACTACAGCAGAGCATCTCATATTGAATCTTTTGTTGGCAGAAGAAGCTTCCCTTGTTCCTGTATTGTAAATCTGCACTAAGCACTGCAAATAAGAAATACTATTCTGCCGTGTTTGGGGTTTGGTCTGTTTGCTGTTGCTGGAAGCTGCATCTATCTACCCATTACATTTCTCATCTGATTCTGTGTGGACTTGCATTCACAAGGCAGACAGGAGCTGCTGTTGCAGGAACCAAATGAAAGTAGTAATAGGTTAACCCATCCTTCAGTGCATGGGATATATCCCTGGACAAAGATAAACTTGAGAGAGAAGCAGCATGCTGAAAGCTCTAGATATCAAAGCCACAGACACATCAGGCCCCTGTCACAGGGTGCAGTTCTGTGTTGCTTTGGTGGTTGAATTAGAGCTATGTTAGCCCTTTCTTCTCTGATTCTAAGCAATGAGAAAGCGAATGTCCAAGGTGCGTTCCTGTTAAAAATGACTTATATCTTTGACTTGCATTTGCTTTGCAGCCCATTAGGTATTGGCTGTAGAACATCACATAAAGCTGAAGCATTCCCCTGAAAATTCTTCATATTTTGAAACAGCAGTTGGGTGGAGGTATTGGTAACTGCATTTCAATTCCAGGGCTTTGAAACTATTGAGGCAAAACTGGTACAAAAATCCTAAAAGCAACTGAAAGGAGAGATTGCAGATACCTCTTTCTGAAATAACTCCCTATTCGATATAGGGAAAAGAAACTTTCCCTTCACGTGTACTTTAATGTGTTATCTGGTGTTGTCTTCAATGTACTCACAAATGAAAACTTCTGAAAAGTGTTCACGAAGCAGCCTTCGTGTGGATTACTCTTTAAAATCTTGCTTGTTTGTTTTGAATCTTGCAGAGTAAGTGTGTCAAGTACTGGCCTGATGAATATTCCCTAAAGGAGTATGGTGTTATGCGTGTGAGGAATGTTAAGGAGAGTGCAGCACATGACTACACACTAAGAGAACTTAAGCTTTCTAAAGTTGGGCAAGTAAGTATGTTAATAACTCTGTGCTTTTAATCTAGGTTGCAAATAAATTAAAAAAAAAAATATGCAGAAAGGCTCTTTCTGAACAATCAATAAGAGCTCTAAGATATTAATAAATTGAGCCTTGACTCCTTCTTTGAAGTTGCAGCTTTAGCTCCATACATCTTTCTCTTTGTCCTTGGGCTAATTGGAGATTCTTATACCTGAGCTCTTTTTTGGCAGAAGATGCACGACTACAGAGCTTTGAGGAAGTTTGGAAAGAAGCATGAAAGTGCTTTTAAGTAATCATACTTTAGCCTAGCTAAGCATTTATCTGCCCTTTCGTGGAGGTGGTTGTACTAGAAGGAACTGGTTGTATGGCAGTCCAGAATTTGAAAGAGCTCTTAAGTGAAGACATGTAAGATGGGGATGGAAGCAGTGAATTAGTGTGGGAACAGCACTTTGTTGTTAAGAAAAAGAGCTTTTCCCTGGCTTCTGAAAGCGAAGATGGAAATACTGGAAACAGCTCAATGAGAAAAATAGGGAACACTGGGAGCAGGTAGTGTGATTGACTTGTCAGGCCAAGAAGAAGACTTTCCTTCTTTAAATGAGTTGTGGTGTTGTGCTGAGCAGAAGGTTGGGTATGCTGCCTTCTGATCTGACTCAACTTTCTGAAGTAATGCTCTTAGCTGCATTTTGTTCAGAAGCGTTTTTTCACGTGTTGATATCTTCCTTCTAGGGGAACACAGAGAGAACAGTCTGGCAATATCATTTCAGAACTTGGCCTGATCATGGAGTCCCAAGTGACCCTGGTGGTGTACTGGACTTTCTCGAGGAGGTGCACCATAAGCAAGAAAGCATTTCTGACGCAGGACCAGTTGTGGTCCACTGCAGGTACAGTGATGCACTGTGCCTCTGCTTCTGTGGAATTCTGTTGGTTCTTCTTTTTTACATCTACTGATGCATTGCTGGGGATCATGCTTGGACCATTGCTTGGGATCACTGGTCTACAATCCCACCTCATGTGAATGAGATATCACTCCTCATTTTTAATGTATGAATTTTTGTTTTCGATTTGAATAAGGCAAGGAAACATTCGATCTTTTAGTTGTGTCTGATCCAAGGTTGTTAATAAACACTAAGAAACAAAACACTGTTGCAACTTCTGTCTCTGTGAAAATTTAGGCCTCTGTTTTCTGTTGTCTGTATAGTTTGGTTTGTCTTTAGCTGTAGTCTGGCTTAGTGTTGGACTCCTAACTTAATGTTCTCATGCCTACTCAGAGCAAAACAATTATTTTTCTTTTCACAGTGCTGGGATTGGACGAACAGGAACTTTCATTGTGATTGATATTCTTATTGACATAATCAGAGAAAAAGGTGGGTCTCTTCAGCCTTTTGTTTTCTGCTGGGACATTGACACAGGTCATAGGAGCATCACAGTAGAAACAATAGAATGTTGACAGGGGGATTCTAGTATTGTTCCAGAGTGAGTACTTTTTTGGCATAAGAGGGACTCGGTCATTCCTCTTGACTTAAAATTAAGGTGCTGAAATCCTGCTCTACATCAGGATGATGAAAACTTTCAGCTGAGGATTAGCCAGAATCCGATTGCTTTATTTTTATTAATATTTGTTTTTAATTATTTGGTTAAATCTGTCATGAATTTGTGGCATCAGTCTGCTCACCGTACGTTGAGGAGACCAATCTCTCCAAAAGCAAAGTTTACTTTATAGTTCCCAATCTCATGGGGTTTTTTTATTTCATAGGTGTGGACTGTGATATTGACGTTCCAAAGACCATCCAGATGGTGAGATCGCAGCGGTCAGGAATGGTTCAAACAGAAGCACAGTACAGATTTATTTACATGGCAGTACAGCACTACATTGAAACCCTACAGCGCAGAATTGAAGAGGAGCAGGTATATTCAGCTGAAGTATAAATTATGTAGGATCATGTCATCACTGGATCAGGGAGCAGAGTTGCTCATTTGCTGCTTGTGACTTGGAGACTTGACTGCAAGTATGGTAATCAAATTTGAGTGTCAGATACTGTTTTGGATTCTTAAATCATGGAATGAGGTATATTGATCTGAAGGATTGTAAAGCATGTAGTGATCCTACAGAACATCACCCAACAAAAACCACCTAGAGGAGTGATTTATGTGATGAGAACTTTTGGAACATGGGGACAATCACAAGATCTCCCACCTCATTCTTTCTGCTCAAATACTCTCTTGCACTCAAATTCTGCAGTCTTTCACAAAAGCTGCATGGTTTTGTGATAAAAGCTAACTTTCTGTCTGCTGTTGCTCTCATTCTCTGCCCTAACTTCTGGTCATCTGGGACTTATCTTTTTTCAAAATTTCAGTATCTTCTGTTGCCTTGCTGCTCAGGAGATAAAACCACACAGTTTGTCAGACAGATGTGGGGAGCCATGTGTTCATGGTTAGCTCAGTGCCTGGTGTGAGATTTAAGCCCTGTTTTAGAGGTAGGGTGTGCCAGCTCAGCCTTGGCACTCTTGTGTGGCTTCTGGCTTCTTTGAAGTGTGACAGAACTGGTTTTATATTTGCCAGCATAACGTAGATGCACTGTTCAGCAGAGGATAGAGTCTTTATTCTTTTCCCCAGGATGGCTGTTGTGTGCTCTGATGCTGATTAGACACAAAGTGAAGAACATGAAATCCCTCAGGTGTACTTTTTTTCCTGGCTTTATTGTTTCACTTCACCTTAGAGCTCCCTCACATCTGTGTGTTTGCACAAGCCTCATATCCTCAGGTTTTGAATATGGTCTCTTTCTGTGCCACAGTTTATAAAGTGGATCTGTAATTTCTTGAATGCTGTAATGTGGTTTTGAATGGTGTTTTGATATTGAGTGGAGCAGTGCATTTCTCTTACAGTGATCAGTTGTTTCATCCTCTATGGTATTACTAGCTCAGGAGGCATGAGAATAAAAGTTTCCTAAACTGGAAATAGAGCATTGCTTTACATCGTGAAGTCTTGACCTACAAAGGCTAGTGGCAGACACAAAAAAGCAGAATAATACTTTTCAGATAAAAGCAGTGCTTTGTGTTGAGTATAGGAAGTAGCATCCAGAAGGAAAAAATAAAGATGTGATGTCATGCAGCACTTACAGCTGTGCTGAAGCAGTGGTATGTACACATAGCTGCATGCATTTGCATAGGGATGAGTTCTTTATGCTCAGAAAAAAAAATTCCCTTGGCTTCTCTGCTAACAGTTCCTTCTGCATTGCAGTGCTGAGAACTTCAAGAGTTCCTAGACTTAAATGTTGTGTTGGATATTGCCTGTCATCCTGCAAGTGTGGAAAAAGGGGAATTGGATTTGTTTTGCTATGTCTTTCCTGCAGAGATGTGTACAGTCTTTTACATCTAAGAAACAAGTTGTTTCCGCTGCATTTCTATTATTATGAATTAGAAAGGATAATTACAGTGAATTAAACTGAAAGAAGAGAAGCCAGGAAGGTGCTTAATCTTGGTTTTTCTATTCCAGTCAGCTTAAGTAATAGAAGAACAGATTGATTCCTCTTAATTTTGCTGCATAGAATATCTGCACCTCAAACTGCTATTCATTATGTGATTTAAAAAAATAAAAAGTAGTTAAACCCTCTGATTTGGTGCTTCAGAATATTATTGGCAGGAAGGGGGTTTGTACTCATCATGCTGTTAAATGCACTAGTCAGAACTTTTGCATTTTGTTCAAATCTTTTTAGTTTCAGCCTTCCAGGCCGTGGATTCAGACTCATAGTTGAAGGGGTTTGTAAGGAATAGGTGGGAGGTTGGGAGAGCAAGAAGTTCTGCAGAAGAATAGAAAAAGTTGTAGTCTCAGAAGACTGCTTTGAAAAATTGCAACTTAAAATGCAGTGCAGAGCTTTGTTAATGGAAACTCAGCAGCCAGATTTCCTCAGGGATTCTGCCAATCTCTGCTGTGAGATTGACTCGGGTCTCTTATGTAGTATTTGTTGGAGCATTTAAAAAACAAAATGAAACAGAAACCCTATGTTCTGTAAATGTTTTTAAAGTGAAGCTTTGATTTCAATGTAGGTTGCAGTGTGTGTATGTGTTGTGAATGTTTGTCCTGGAAACAAAGAAAAGCCATATCTCTCTTTCCTAGTGTAGCTTTGTTTGCTGGAGCCTTCAGTATCTTTAGATGAATGCCAGCAAAATTGGCTGCAGCTTGTAACATATGTTGCAGAATACAAATGACAGCTTGGGTTCTTTTTATATCAAATCGAATGGCCTAAGATGATATTTTATTAGAGATCTTGCAAACAGGATTGTTACTCATTTGGCCACATCTCTGAGCTGGAAATAAGGTCAGTGGGAGGCGCACTGGCTGCTGCTGTCTGTTAAAGAATGAAGTGTGGTTTCTTCTGCCAAGTGAGACGAAGGTTGTGTGTGAGTGCTGGTTCTTAAGGCTGGTATGTTCAGCTGGAGGTGGTGGTGGGGAGTGCTGAAAAAAGAGGCTTTTCAGGTCTTAGAACAAGTAAAACCAAGCTTTAGGTCCTACCCATATTGTGTGTTATCTATGGAATTGAGCTCTTTGGTGTTCATAGCTAAACCCTTCTAAATCTAATCTGGTTAGTTGTGTACTTTCCGTATTCCTTCAATGAGTTTTTCCTATTTGTTGCTCAAACCTGGCTTTTCCTTGTGTTTTGCTTCACAGAAAAGTAAGAGGAAAGGTCACGAATACACAAACATTAAATATTCTTTATCGGACCAGACAAGTGGGGATCAGAGCCCTCTTCCACCCTGTACCCCAACCCCAACGTGTCCAGAGTAAGTTGGTTTCTGTTGCTAGTGTGCAAGTTTTGAATGGTGCTAATCTCCAGTGATCTTGAATTGACTTACCACAGAGCTTGTGCTCAGACTTTTGCCAGGTACTTTGCTTTTAAACTATTACTATTAAGTGTACAAACTTGGTTTTCTCAGACTGCAAATACTTGCTTCTTTTCAGAATGAGGGAAGATAGTGCTAGAGTATATGAAAATGTGGGGCTGATGCAACAGCAGAAAAGTTTCAGATGAGATGATGTACAGACTTCAGTGCAAAGGCAGGTATGTATTTTATGTGACTGTGCATATGCAGCCTGGAGTTGTAGGGCTTGAATAAAATAGGATAAAACCAGACTATAACAACATTTTCTAATGCTTGAAATGCATGTAATCAATCCACCCTTGAGGAATTTAAGTTTCAGAAGCTAATTTTGATTGAGTTACAGCTATATTTACCCTCTCAAAACAATATAGAGTATTAGCTTGGTGGTGGTTTGTCCTCTTCCCCTGACTCACAGTGGCATAGGTTGGAGGTCTTTATTATTCAGGAGACTGGTGTTCTGTATGATGAGTGGGAGCTGCAGCCTGAACTCCATGTCTTTAAGTGATCTTTGTTCCTGGTCCATGCTAAGGATTTGTGTCCATCTAAAGAGATTAAAAGAACACTTAATCTAATGCTCAGCCTCAGTAAAGATGTATTGAGCAAGATTACTTCTGTGCCTGTGTGATGTGAGCAGATGCAGGAGGAAAACAGTGAAACTGATCTAATATGCTAGCCTTTTAGTAAAGGTTTTAAACTATGGTCAGACAGAAATAAAGTCTTCAAAGTTAGTGTCCTGTGTTCATATTAGTAAAATTAAATCCTTGCTTTCGCTGAAAGAGAAAACTATGATTCTCTTTATATTTTAAATGGCAATTATGGTTTGATTTATGCAGTCAATTGAGTAGATATTGGTTATTGGCTGATAAGTTTATTAACCGTGGTTAATGGGCTGTGAATGCAGCAAAAGAACAGCTTCAAATTTAAGGTGTCCTTTCTGTAGTCATTTACTTCTCCTGGATTCTAGCCTAAGGCCTTTCATCTTTTGCCCCGTGCTTCTAACGACCTCAGACATCCTATTTTCCCCTTCCCTCTCAGTAGCTGTATGTATGCTTCATCCATTCAGTCCACAATCTTATCTGTACATGCATAGACGTATCCCACTTAGTCCACTATTTCGAATACATGTTCTCATCTTTTAATGCCAAACTGCAGCACAGCTTATAATCAAGATTTGAGATTTTCAGTTGTTTATGGCTTTCTTGAGTCATTATACACTTCTGTATGATGTCAGAACAAGAACAAACTGTTGTGTTATTTTGTACTAAATAGCTCTTATTTCTTTTCCAGAAATGAATATGGTTTTTAAAAAGGTCAAGAAAGAGATGGAAGAAGCTTCACGTGAAAGCTGAACTCTGAAGGCTTGGTACCTTTTTAATTTACGGTTTTAATCCTTCAACAGTAGGCAAAACTTAAGACCATCTAAAGATTGTTTATAACTCTTCTCTCCAATGCCTGATTTACAATTGCTCATTTTCCAAATAAAAGGAAATCCTATCTACAATGTAGACAACTACTTTGTAGAGTCAGTTTTGAATCCAGCAAACTGTTGGATTGTCATCCATGTGGTTGTTTTTTTTAAATAGTGTTTTTGTTTCATAATATGGCTATTAGTCGGTTTTGGTGTTTTGTGCGTTTGTTTTCATTTGAGCCATTGTGGGTTTTTTTGTCACAGGTGGTGGGAGAACAATGATATAGATATAAATCTGTTAGACTAATGTAAAATAATGATGGGAACAATACTTGATTGAAAACTGTGGATCACCAGTGTGAGTAGAATCAGCTACGTGGTAAAATTAGTCCTAATACATTTCAAACTCAGACTGAGTTCTGTAAGGGTGAGCAGTATATGAAGGTGCTTGTGGTGACTGATAGCTTTGATTACTACTTAGCTGAGTGGCTGACTGAGCTATTTTTGAGTAATTATGTAAGATAGCCTTTATCAAAGGAAACTTCTTTTACGTGTTCTCTACCCAAAATAGAAATTTACTGTATCTCTCCCAAGGCATGGTGGCCTAATGTAATCCTCTTGTGAGGATACTATCTCTGTTCATTTGTCTGTGTTCATCTATTAAGCAAGAGATTGGATGTGCTGAGTTTGAGGAATTTTAAAATTTGCATGCTGACACCTTAACAGCATAGTGAAAAACAGAGTGAAACAAGTAACCCACTATGCAGGCTCTTAGCTCACTGTAAGGTAAGCCTCTTCTCCCTTCCCCTGGGGAGATGGAAGCTGCTGGGCCTTCTAGTTTTCAGTAAGACCTTAGGACAGAATAAGTGGCTCAATTAAAGTTTTGTGGGGGAAAGCAGTGCATGGAAGCTGGTTATCCACTGAAATTGCCTTGGTTGAAAAGGGCAGAATGGACAGCGAGGCCAGCAGGCTCGTTCTGGTTTGTTTCATCAGACAGGAGTTTATTACCATTCCACCTGAAGTGCCTTTCAGAGCTGCGTTGAAATTGCTGTTCCTATTAGATTAAAAATCATGTTCATCTGAAACCACTTCTGATTGTTGTCAATGAAATGGAGCCCTCTGCTAGAGAGAGACCACAGAACGCCGAGCTGCTGTTGAGCTGCCAGGTAACTGGGTTCCTTCACTTGGTTTGCTCTGTCCTGTTTCCTGGACCAGAAGCTCCCCTTAAAGCTGTGTGCACTAGTGATAAAACCAGTCCCTAACAGTAGGATCTGGTGGTGTCTTACCAACATCTTCCCCTGCGTTCCTGGGGAAATTCTGTGACTTCATGGTTAAGGATTTATTGCCATTTCTGTTCAGTGCATACAGATGGTGAGCACTGCATCAACTTGCTGTAGGCATGGTGCAGGGCCAATGAAATTGCATTATTGGCCTTACTAGTGAAATTATGCTAAAGCTTGGAATGTAATTAATGCAGCTTTGTGAAAGGTTAAGTGGGAGATTACATTACCTTTTCCTGAGAGTGCTTAGCAAAATCAAATATTTGAACACTTTGTTTGAACTGAATGAAGGTGCTTCTTTAATGTTAAGCAGAATTTTGTTACTTTGCCTGTTGTCCTTTTTGTCTTCTGAGGCTTTGGGTTTTCTTTTCTCTCTCTTTTTTTTTTTTTTTTTCTTTTTTGGAACTCCTGTCACCAGCATACCATAATGCATTTTAATGTCGTAGCCTTATAGTCTAATCATAATATTTACTCCCCTTCTCCATCTGAAATTCTGTCGTGATGAGGGAGAAATCTATTCCTCTGGTAGCGAGATCTGTTCTGCATTGCCTGCCTCCTTCCCTGTCCCTGCGTACAGCTTCATCCTGCTGAACAGAGATCAGCTCGAGGTGTTGGTATTTGCACAGAGCAATTGATGGCAGTCTCAATATTTATTTAAAGCTTGGTGTGGAGGTAGATGAATTCTACACTTCATATATTAGAGCAAGGTGGAATGCATGTTCTGTACCAAACCGAAGTCATGGTGAAAGTCAAGAGAAACCAGAGAAGGACCCTGAATGACTGAACTCTGTTTTGAACTCTGTCAATGTGATGTCTTAAAAGATTGACCTCTAGAAGCAGCAATCAGTTATGTGGCCAACATAAGGTTGCCTCTTTCAACCTCATTTTAGCTGTTTAGAAGCTGCCACTGTAGGATTTCTATTTTTTTTCTTGGAGCCAAGGAATTCTTTCTCCAGAATGTGTATTAATCCCGAGGAGTGAACGGTGGAAGAATGTTGATGAGGAGAAGCAGAATCAAAAAGGTTGGGAATAAATACTGTGCTTCTAACGTTCTAACTGGAGTGTTGGACCATGCTGGATGCCAAAGGGGAAACCTTGCAAGAGAAAACCTGCCTGCCCTTCATGCAAGAGCAAGAGAGGGATCATTTTTGGAGCATTAAAAAAGTTGTTTTACACAATGTGTGGATTTTTATTACGGATGAAGCAAGAAAGAGATACGTCCTTTGGTTTAGGGGAGATAAGTGAATATGTGGGTTTCATGTATTTCTAGTGAGTTTTTTTAGAGAAATCTTGTGCATTGATCTGCAAGCTGTGGCTGAATCAGTGGAACAGAAAAGGGATGCAGTTCTGAAGCATTCTGTTAGGGAAGACTTCATACCACAAAGGAAACTTTAACCCAATCCTAAGGCACAACGATTTATGCCAGCATGAATTTGCTGCAGACTTCATTTCACTGAATGTTTCATAGCATACTTTAATTTCAGCTAGCTGTTGTTAGGACTGATTGGTTCTCCTATTAATCCTGACCAAACTGTTACTTCTTCCTCTTAAGATATGTCTCTGAAACACAATTAACCAGGATACAGCTAACGAAACCCTAAAACCCATTTCCTTTTTCATTGTAACGATGGAGAAAATCACAGCTGGTACTAGGATGTGTTGTCAGCTTTTGGTTTGTCATTATTTCAAATTTTTTAATTTTTCCCTTTGAAATAGTGAAACATGTAATTAATAATTTCAAGCCTGTTTTATTTATGACCTTATTGTGATTTTTTTTATTACAGTACTAAAAACTAATGAAAAAGGATCTTATTAGGTGGAGTAGACCTTGCATTTTTTTTTTTCCTGCAGTGTATGAAGTATTGTACCAGAGTATTAAATGAAATTGTAATATTTTATTGAAAAAAATCTCTATCCTTTAAAAGGAATGCATTTAGGATGTCATCAATTTGATGTGAATCATGTAAATGTTGATAATGCGCTGTTTATCATACATTCAGTGTTTCAAAACTCTTGCTTCTTGCCTCTTGCCCATATACGTTCTGTAGACCATTTACAATTGTCAAAATGTGACATTAAAATAATAGTTCATGTATAGAAATAGTGGTGGTTGTCCATTGTTTTCTGTGCTGGTATTTATGGGTCTTAGTTTGGCTGCTCTGCTGTTGCATTGTGATTTTTATTGCTGCAAAGCTATATTATCAGAAATAAAAGCATATCTGTAAACAACAGAACTTAAAAGAAAAAGGGAAGAAAAAAAAAAAAGAGAAATAAAACATAATTTTCTTAAGATGACTTGTCAGTTACTCTGTTCTCCAGCTCCCAGGCAATATTGATGGTGTATGGGCACTCATCTTCAAGCTTAGATGATAGTTTCTGAGTTGTGGTCATGAGGTCTGTTGAAGAAAGCAGCTGTCCTTCCTGAGAGCCAGTGGAGCACAGCTTCTAGTAAGCATGATGCATGTGAGTATGTGTCCTTGTGTTCCTAGCACTGGCCAGAGGTCCACGTGCTGCCTGTGCTGCTACCTGTGGCTCTGTGCGTGGGCATGGCTTGTCTGTTCTGCTCCAACCTGCTTTTCCTTCTAGAAAGCTGCCCCTTGTTATTTAGTGGTTGGTTTATGAACTTGATATGGAACACGCATAAAGCTGAGGTGGGAATTAGCCCACCTGGGAATATTAGTGCTAATCAATCAGATTGGTTTGCAGGAAAGGAGTGATGATCCTGCTCTCTCTTGGCTACAAGCTATTCTGCCAGGGATGAGGGGGAAGGAAGCTGTTGCTCTCCTGCTGCTCTTTCTGTCCCAATCTTTCATCTCGAGCACATTTGTCTTTGGGGCTGTGCTGTTTTCTGAGATCCTTGTATGCCAGCACCAGGCAGTGACTTAAAAGAGGGACTGGTGCTTTGCAAAGGAGCTGTGCTGTGCCTCAGGCTCCTTGCTGCCAGCTGCTGCTCCCATACTTCACAAGCTGTCAATGTTTCTGATCCTGTAACACTTAGACGCTTCCAAAAATGTAATGTTCTACCTGTTCTCTGGTCAGGAGCAGAGGAATGTACATGTGCCCCTAAGTATTGTGTTTTATGTCTAATTTTAGGTCCAGTAATACTGCTTTTTCTTCCTTAAAGCTACTGGAAGTGTTCCCACCAGGCATGTCACCGCTGTTACTGACTTCCAGAAACCAGACAGCCTGAGCAGTCAGCCAGCTCTGCTCAGATACGAGGGGTTTTGATTCAGTGAAATTTGCACTGAGCATTAGTGCTCCCCTTGATCCTACTTACAAGGGCTGAGTGGTGAGAAGGCAGATAAGCCATCCTGCAACTTTTTAGGAAATAAATGCTGTGTCGTAACAGGGGCAGCGTGAGCAATGCTGGTTGAACACAGAGCAAATATCAGCTGAATTTGTAGTGAAACAAGCTTAATCTCAAGGCGATGGCAAAGCAAAGAGATAATCTACTGAAAGGCCAAGGAGGAGGAAAAGCCCTGTGGTCAAGGCCTCTGCAGCATCAAATACAAACAGAACTCAAATGAGGCCAGTAGCTATGTAGAGCAGCTTGGCTTTAAGGCGATTATCTTCAGAGTGAGACTTTTTTATGAATGTATCTAACAGTTTGCATCCATCTCTGGATATAGCAATGGTTTGATAATCTCTTTCAGAGGGGGGGTCTTTGACAAATACCAGAAGTGGTAGTGATGTTGTGAAACGTAGCACCTCCTGCTTCCTTCCAGGCTGCTGCAATGCATTTTCACTTGCCACTTGCAGGTAAGTATCAGTGGAGATGGTTATGGAGTACTGAAGGTTCACATCCCTCCCAAACTGGATGTTAGCCTGTTTGCAGGTTTTTGTGTACCTGCAAGCTGTGCTTTCTGGTTACCCACTGGAAGTGTGTGTTGCCCAGATGTGCTGGCCACTGGTGCATTATGTAGAGCAAAGACTGACAAAAACAGTTGTAAGGTTATCATGGAGCTGGAAGCTTGTCCTGACATTGCTGTTGTTTACAGGTGGCTCTCAGCACTTGATATTCATTCAAGCCTTGATGGCTGGCTATTGTTCAAGGACAAGTTTATCACTGTAAAACCTTGAAACGTTGGCTGACTTTTTCAGGATAAATTCCAGTGCAGCTAGTGGTTGGTTATGTGAATCTGAAACATGCCTTCTGTTGTAAAGGGCAATTCATCATGCTGCCCTTCTCATCCTGTAGCAAGAAGAGCGGAGCGGGTCGTGAAATTCTGCCACAGAGGAAAAATGAAGGTGTCCTTCAATCAACCTATGGGCTGTTCCCAAAGCAAATGTTTTTTTCCAGTGCATCTCTGACACAGTCGATGCAAGTCAGAGCTCTGTTTTCAGGGTGGCAGTTCTCTTTCCGTGTCCCTGTGTAGCTTTTTGTTTTAGTCCCTTCACTTGAAATCACCTCTGTGCCCATTGCACAGCATTTGTGCTTCAAGTCTGAAATCTGCCTTTGCCCTGAATTGTTGCCAGAGGATCAAATGTGTATCTTTCCTTTTTTTTCTTCCTTTTTCTTTTGTAATGCTTAGGAAAGATACCTTCAAAGGATTCTTGCTTTGTTTCCTGTTTTCCCCTTGGAGAAAGACTTGGAATAACAATTCACAGATCAAAACACTCGATTTGAAAAGAGCCCAGATCTCCCAATGGGTGCCTCAAAGTACTGGAGGGGCTGCTGTATTTTTAGCGTGCATCATCTTGACAGCTTGCTGTCCTTCTTGACTATGTGCATATTTGCTACTAATGGAGGAAGCAGCCTTGGATTCTTATGCTGGTGCTTTTCTCAGTTTCCTTATTTGTGTCATTGTGTGTGAAAGAGGAGGGGGAGGAACACTCCAGTCTCTCTTCTGCAGGAAATCAGGCTGGAAGATTGCTGCAATTCCTCCTGGCCTTTTTATTTAATAGTGCTGTGTCTGAGCTTAGTTTATGGTTGTTTATTCTGGCTGTAATCTTCAATTTTATAGATCTGTGAAAGTTCCATGTGTGTTTACGATCATGAATGATAGCTTTAGGGATATGAAGTGCCATATAGCAAACAGCAGAGAGAAATAGCATGTAAGTAGTGGCTTTTTCAAACTGCTTGATCTCATTTCATCTTCTGTGATTAAGATTTCATAGTTGTAGAGTGGGTGAGTGCCCTTTCAAAAAGGGAATGGCTCTGTCCTTCCAGGCAGTTTGGCATGCAGAGCAGGTCTAGGGCTTGCACATAAATCTTGAGGTGAAATCCCACCATAGGCAGGGCCCTTCCATGCCTCTGCTGCTGTTGAAAAGCCTGTTTGGTTCAATGGCAGCAAATGAGGGAAGATTTGTGCTACCATGAGAGAAGCGTCGGTCTCTCCTGCATGGCTGGCTTGGATGCACATGTCCATTCTGGCCTTCTCCATGGGAAGTCTCTTGGGAGTCTGCTGTGGATCCAGCCCTGCACATGGCCACATCTTCCCATTGCTTTCATATGCTTCTGGACCCCTTTGGCAGCAATTGTCCCAATTCCACATAGCAGAAAACTGCTTTAGTTGGAACGTTCTTCCTGTAGACTTTTGTGCAAACAGCAAACTGGGACTTTTTGTCTGCACTTTGCACACCTTTTCCCCAATGATGGCAAGCCCTGAGTTTCCACCTTCACCCATCTCCATTGCAGCAGTTGGTGTGTTGGCTACGACTGTGATCTGCTGCCTTCAGTCTCCTGGAGTCCTCTTGTTAACCACAGATCCTTGCAGTGACCGGTGGATTTGTAATTAACAGCCTTTCTGCACATTGCAGTCAATCTGTGTTTCTCATGGCTCATGAGCTTGGGGAAATGCAGTACCTCCAGAGCACCTCTGCTGAATTGCTGTGTGCTGTTGTTCCAGATGTCCTGCACTGACCTTCTGCTCCGCATGTGGCCTTCAGCCATCTCATGTGTGTGATGCTGAGATGCTTTTGGTCTGCAATAAAGAGATTTGTTTGGGTATTGTATGAAATTGGAGATCAATCTCTAAGGGCTTTCCCACAGGGACCTGCCTTACTGTGTTAACCTTTCGATTCACAGCAGTTTGTAACTATACAGAGCATCAGTGCTGGTACTGAGTTTCTGTTAACTTTATTCCATTTCCCAGGCCTAGATCTGCATAATAATGTCAGTAATTTCAGCAATCTGCTCCCCAGTCCAATTGAATTGATCAGAAGGCTTTGAGGGGTGGCTTTCATCGCAGTGATGCGGTGTGCAGTTGTTGAGGGGAAAAGCAGTACATTCTGATGCACAAATTGCCCTTCTCAGCCATGGGTCGCTGGGTGGACTCAGGCTGCGATGCTTTCATGAGGGCTGTAAGAAAAATTCAAAGCTTCTTTCCCAAATAGTGCCAGCTGTGGATGAGAACCAGAAGGGAGAACCCAGTGTATTGTCATCAGCCTACAAACAAGTGTCCTCAGTGCTTAGGTGTGGCAGTGTGCCCTTTTCCCAAGGGATCCCATTCCCTGTGGCTGCCTCCTGCCCTTGAGGCATGAAGGTCTTTTGGATGAAACGTCTGAAAACTGGATGTTGAGGAAAGGAAGACTGGTGTTTAGAGCTTTTTTTTTTTGGTTGAATGGACACGCTGGTGGTGGGCTTCCATCTGCAAGGCTTGCTGCCATTTCCTTGCCCCTTTGCTCAGTGTTTTGGACACACAGCATGCTCAGAGCCCTGGCATCGCCTCAGAAACACCAGGCAAAGGCTTTGCTCCCCTCTGTGCTGCAGGGGCTGAGTGCTGATGTGTGAGCTCCTGCCTGGGAGCTCAGCAGCGCTTCCCCTGTGCTTAACACACACAGCTCCGCAGCGCTTGGGGCTGAGTTAAATGTGTTCCCCAGCAGGCTGCAGCCCCACTGTGCTCAACTCTTGGAGACGCAGAGAATAACAGACAGCACTGCTTTGTCAGGTAGATTGTGAAATTAAACACCGCAGAGATCTCCAGCTTCTCAAATATTACCCCAGCGGGCACCATAAGGGCCTGGCATGGGATATTTGTGTACGGTTCACCTGGCTGCATGGCCAGCATTGCTCCTGAAAGCCCCACGGCTGCAGAGCTGCATGTATCTGTGCTTTCCATCACTCGGCCTTACTGCTGGAAAGGTGGTTTGCCTTGCCTC